TGGATGCCTTGGGTACTTCTCCATCATTCCTTTCAGACCACACCCCTGCCTGATGCAATCTGAGTTGTGCACAGGTGTGGTGTTCCTATGGGATGGATCATGGGCTTATGGTTCCTCCTGAACCCTGGGCCTCCCTGCCTCTCACCTAAACAGGAAGTATTCCAGGCTGATGCCCAGGGACTGTTAGCTAAGGATACTTCTAAGGGGCAAAGCACATGGCCTCAGCAGAAAGTCTACTGAGCTCTTTTAAGCCAACATAACATAACTACATTCTGAATGTAGTGGGGCTTGGAAACTGAGATGATAGAAGAGGAGAAGGAAAGGTGAAGGGAATGAGTACATTTTATAGACATAGCTCCATTTAATTTGCACGACAAGCTCATGATGTAGTAGTTGTTGTTAGCCGCTATTGACTTGTGTCTGATCATGGTGGCCTTATGTGTAATAGAATGAAATGTTTCCCAGTCTTGTGCTATTTTCATACGATTGGTGTGTAGTTGTTGCTATCCTTTAGACAGAGCAACTGAGCTTCACAAAATTCCCTTAGGTCATTCATGATGGGGCCTGGATTTGAACTTCAGTTTTTCTGATATGAGTAGCCTGCATCTTAGAGAACATATGACCTCCTACTCCAGTTGGGAAACACAGGTCTCCTGTGTGAAGAAAGTTCCTGTGCTGGAAGCCGATGACTCATCAAGTTCCCCATCCTCTCCCCTCATCTTCTCTGCTGCCTCCTTTACCCACTTGCTCCTGATAGAACACTGACCAGGAATCTAAGATATGAATATACTACATTACCTTGAACTGCTTACTTGCTCTCCTGGTCCTCCACTTTCTCAACACTTAAACAGCTAGGACATTGGATCAGATTCCTCTAAGAATGCTTTGAAATCTTATGCTTAGGGATTCATTTGGCACAGGGTCTTCAAAATGTAACTTCCCTCAGAATCAGGAATTTAGTGATGAACAAGCAGTTCTACTCTGTCCTCTAAGGTTGCTATGAGTCAGAATTGACTGGATGGCACCCAACAACATCAACAAGCTTTGAGGCACAGCTGGATTAACAGTTAGTGTCACTACCGAGGTCTTCAGTACTAACATAGGTGAGAAAAAAAACAAAGACCCCATTCCTGGAAGGAGTCTCTGAGTCTGCAAGTGGTTAATGCATTTGGCTGCTAATGGAAAGCTGTAGGTTTGAGTCTACCCAGAGGTGCCTTAGAAGGAAGCCCTGGTGATCTCCTGAAAACTCAGCTGTTGAAAACTCTATGGAGCATAGTTCTACTCTGACACACATAGGTTTGCCATATGTCAGAACTGACTCAATGGCAACTGGTTTTTTACTCTTGGAAAGCATGTCCAGTGTAGCTTTGGCCTACCTTGGGTGGGTGGAGGGACTGGTCTGATAGAGGTGCAGGCAATAAGGAGGTCTATTATCTGTAGACAATTTAAAACACTAATAAAATGAAAATTTCCTTTTTATTATTACTGTGTGCCAGCAATTCCAAATAATCCCCGTGATAAAATAGTCTTCCCTGAAAAGAAAAAAAAAAAAAAAGGTTAATTTAAATTTTAAATAATTGCTGTGGTTCCTATTGAATTTTATGAATGAGCTTATTTTTTATTAGTTATTCTTTAATAATCATTGGATTTTAGATAGAAGTTAATTTTGAGAACTTCCAGTTATACTGTTGGTTTCTTACACAGGTGGACTCAGCTACATGCACTCATTTTCATAGTAAGTTCAAAATGGTTTGGAGTTACTTAAGTACATTTGAGGTAAACTTTGTATCTCCAACCGCTGTGGGTACTACATATTCCTGCTTTTAAACAGTAGATGCTAAATAAATAATGATATCATAGGGATTGTAAAGACAAAGAATGAGAACTTGAATTACTTCGATTCTGACATTCTATGTGACCTCTTGGAGTTTCTGTTTGTGTTTAAAAGTGAAGCAGAATGCAAACTTCAAGATATAATTTTTTTTCTGTAAACTCAAATTTTCATTCAAATAATGAAATATCTTACTGAATTTAAAAAATAAAAATATTATTAAAATAGAAATTTATTCTTCTTTTAAATTGTTAGTTGTTTTAAAACTAAAGAATGAGTAGAGACAATAACTATATCTTTTGTAGATGTTTTAGTTTTATTAAAGTTCACTTATTGATTACTGATTAATTATCTAATAAAATATGATACCATACACTCATGAAAGAGTCAAAGTTCATGGTTTGATAGAAAAATTATTGAACAAATAGTTACAGTTTTTGATACTGTAACATTAGTTTCCTTTTTAATTAAACATTCTTTATTGTTATTATTTACATATATGGAATTTAAGAAAAGAAAAATTTCACTTTCTGTTTTTTTCTCGATGGTGTTATGTTATTTTTTAATTATACTGAAAATGATTTCATCATAATAAAGCCAACAAAACAACACAACACACTGCCCTCTAGTCGGATCCAAGTCATAGTGACCCCTCTATGGGTTTCCGAGGCAGTATCTCTATGGAAGTAGATTGCCCAACCTTCCTTCCAAGGAGTGGCTGGTGGGTTTGAACTGCCAGCCTTCTGGTTAGCAGTCAAATGCCTTAGGCACTATGCCACCAGAGCTCCTATAAGAAAGGCAGAAGGTATTAAAAATGATCTGCTCTGGATGTCAAATCCATTACACATGCTCCTGGTTGAGACCAGTGTGTGACTGCACTGACCAGTGCTTGAGCATATGAGGCTGATGTTCTGCTGCCCAAAGAGCTGGGCTCAATGTCTCCAGTCCTGTGGTTAGAGACAGGGCCTGGCCACTTCCTACCTCTGTGCCATGAAGTTGGGGCTTGCTTGGGGAAGGGCTTATCTTTGCTCTGGGCTCTGCCACTCACTCCTATTTCTTCTTCCCTCTAGTGGCTGAGCACAGCACAAGATTCCAGATCCCCTGGCTTGGAGCCATGGCAACAGTGCTGGTGGTCATGAGCACAGTAGTCATCTGGGTGGTCATACTTGCCAGAAAGGTAATGGCTCTGGCTGCATATCTGTCATGGGTACCCCAACCCTTCTGCCCTGGCTTTTCAGGTCCTTTTCCTGTCCAGAGTGCTCTTATCAGTCCTATTGAGATAATCCAGAGACATCAAGAGAATTCTACCTGTGTCAATCCACTGACCTGGGGGGATCTCCCGCATTTCTCTTTGTAGGAGCTCTGGTGGCATGGTGCCTAAGGGATTTGACTGTTAACCAGAAGGCTGGTGGTTCAAACCCATCAGCCACTCCTCAGAAGGAAGACTGGGCAATCTACTTCTGTAGTGATATTGCCTCAGAAACCCAAGGAGGGGTCACTATGTGTCGGATATGACTCGACGGCAGTGAGTTTGTTTTTGTTTTTCTCATAGTACTTGCTCTGCTATTTTTTTCTTTTCTTTTTGTAAGTTATTAATTTTCGCTCCTTGTGCTTCTCCTCATTTGGGAGCTCTGGAAAGTTCAATCTGTGTCCTACCCATCTTCCTGTCACCTACAGTTTCTGATCCTTGCTTGACTTGTAGCCACTGTCCTGGGAGTCTAATTCATCTACTATGAGTGTGATGCATCTCAGACATCTACTATTTGCCAGGGCTTTCTGTACACTTTCTCATTTTATTTTCAAAACTCTTCATCAGGGCTGGCTATTCTCTTAGGGGCCTACAGGATAAGGAATGAACGCTCCAAACATTTGGGGTCCAAAGGGTACATGGCAAAATCAGTGGGGTATAAAGTCTCTATTACTTTAGCTTAAAGGGTCATGTGGCCGAAAGCACTGGATAAGAAATGGTACAATTTAGGTTCTAATTTGGAAGCGGATGGTGATGACCATTGTACAACATGCAAACGTATTAATGTCACTGAATTGTACACTTAAAAATTATTAAATGGTAAATGTTTTGTTATATGTATATTACCACAATAATAACAAAAAAGGAGTTAGTTTCTAGTTCCAGCACAAAGGGTGTGATTTTAGACAAGTTACTTAATGATTCCAAGTCTGTGTTTCTTCATACATAAAATGGGGATTATAATTGGACTTGCTCTGTATCCCAGAGCTGTGGTGAACTGGTGGCATATTGGATGTGAAAGCTTTGTAAGCAATAAAGCCATGTATCAATATACTTGTTATGTCATGTACTAAGCAGCTATCAATTGAAGAATTTTCACTCCTTGCTTTGTTGTCTTCTCTGACCCTTTAAGCCTGCCCAAGTCACCCTAATTCAGGTTACCTCACAAACATTTTGGGGAAGGCAAATTCCTAATTTTGTCATCACCTTCACCCTGAACACCTTCTCTCCTTCCTGACTTCTTTCCCTCCAACTCTGTTTCCACTCAACAACAAATCAACTCTGTAGCCCTGATGTTACTATTTCTGGACTACCTACTTGGAGCTGTTATACTTGTGGATTTACAGCTACCATCTATTTTCCTTTCTATTTGCTTCCCCTGTTTGTCCCTTCTATGCTTTCTTGCCATCTTTTAAATTAAGTACTTTTTATTACTAAAATGGCCTATTAGTTTATTCTTTTATATATTCTTTAGCTACTCTTTTAGTGGTTATACCACAGATTACGTAATATATCCCTAATTTATGAAACTCTAATATAAACGAATACTTTTATAATTTCCTGATAATGCAAGGAATTTGTTGTTGTTGTTGTTTGTTGTTAGGCATTGTCTCCAACTCATAGCAACCTTATGTACAACAGAATAAAACACTGCCTGGTCCTGTGCCAGCCTCACGATCCCTGCTATACCTGAGCCCATCGTTGCAGCCACTGTGTCAATCCATCTCATTGAGGGTATTCCCCTTTGTCGTTGACCCTCCACTTTATCAAGCATGATATCCTTCTCCAGGGAATGGTCCCTTCTGATAACATGACCAAAGTAGGTGAGATGAAGTCTGGCCATTCTCACTTCCAAGAAGCATTCTGGCTGCATTTCCTCCAGGACAGATCTGTTAGTTCTTTTAGCAGTCCATGGCACTTTCAGGATTCTTCGCCAACACCACAACTCAAAAGCATCAACTCTTCTTCAGTCTTCCTTGTTAATTGTCCAGCTTTCATATGCATATGTTGTTGTTGTTGTTGTTATGTGCCGTTGAGTCGGCCCCAACTCATAGCTACCCCGGCGATTGAAAATACCTTTGGTTAGGCACACTTAGTCTTCAAGGAGACATCTTTGCTCTTCATCATTTGAAAGAGGTTTTTTGAAGCAGATTTGCCCAGTGCAATATGTCTTCTGATGTCTTAGCTGCTGCTTCCATTGGTGTTGATTGTAGAACCAAGTAATATGAAGTCCTTGACAACTTCAATCTTTTCTCCATTTATTGTGATGCTGCTTATTGGTCTAGATGTGAGGATTTTTGTTTTCTTTATATTGAGGTATAGTCCATAATGCAGACTGTAGTCTTCAATCTTTAAAAGTAAAGTGCTTCAAGTTATCCTCACTTTCAGCAAGCAAAGTTGTGTTGTCAGCGTATTGCAGGTTGTTAATGAGTCTTCCTCCAATCCTGATGCCACATTCCTCTTCATATAGTCCAGCTTCTTGGATGACTTGCTCAGCATACAGACTGAATAAGTATGGTGAAAGGATACAACCCTGACACACTCCTTTTCTGATTTTAAACCATGCAATATCCCCTTGTTCTGTTTGAATGACAGCCTCCTGGTCAATGTACAGGTTCCTTGTGAGCACAATTAAGTGTTCTGGACTTCCCATTCTTCTCAGTGTTATCCATAATTTGTCACACAATTCAATGCTTTTGCATAGTCAATAAAAAAAAGTAAACATCTTTCTGGTATTCTTTGCTTTGAACCAAGATCCATCTGACATCAGCTATGATATCCCTTGTTTCACATCCTCTTCTGAATCCAGCTTGCATTTCTTGAAGTTCTCTGTCAATATACTGCTGCAACCATTTTTGAATGATCGTCAGTAAGACTTTACTTGCATATGATATTAATGATATTGTTCGATAATTTCCACATTCTGTGGTATCACCTTTCTTTGGAATAGGTACAAATATGAATCTCTTCCAGTCAGTAGAGCAGGTAGCTGTCTTCCAAATTTCTTGGCATAGATAAGTGAGTGCCTCCAGTGAGGTATCTGTTTGTTGAAACATCTCAGTGGGTATTCCATCAATTCCTGGAGCTTTTTTTTTTTTTTTTTTTTACCAATTCCTAAAGTGCAGCTTCTATTTCTTTCTTCAATACCATTGGTTCTTGATCATATGCCATCCCCTGAAATGGATGACGTTGACCATTTCTTTTTGGGATAGTGATTCTGCGTATTCCTTCTATCTTCTTTTGATGTGTCCTGCATCATTCAATATATTGCCCATAGAATCTTTCAATATTGCAACTCAAGTCTTGAATTTTTTCTTTAGTTCTTTCAGCTCAGGAAATGCTGAGCATGTTCTTCCCTTTTGGTTTTCTAACTCCAAGTCTTTGCACATTTCATTATAGTAATTGGCTTTGTCTGCCTGGGCTGCTCTTTGAAATCTTCTGTTCACCTCTTTTATCTTGCCATTTCTTCCATTTGCTTTAGCTACTCTCTGCTCAAGGACAAGTTTCAGAGTCTCTTCTGGCATCCATTTTGGTCTTTTCTTCCTTTCCTGTCTTTTTAATGACCTTTTGCTTTCTTCATGGATAATGTTCTTGATGTCATCTCACAATTCCTCTGGTTTTTGGTCATTAGTGCTTAATGCATCAAATCTATTCCTTAGATGGTCTCTAAATTCAAGAGGTATATAATCAAAGTCATATTTTAGCTCTTGTGAACTTGTTTTAATTGTCTTCAGCTTCAATTTGAACTTGGATATGAGCAGTTGATGGTCTGTTCCATGATCAGCTCCTGGTCTTGTTTTGGCTGAAGATATAGAAATTCTTCATCACCTCTTGCCACAGATGTAGTCAGTTGGATTCCTGTGTACTCTGTCTGGTGAAGTCCACGTGTATACCCACCATTTGTGTTGTTGAAAAAAAGGTATTTGCAATGAATAAGTCATTTGTCCTGTAAAATTCTATCATGCGATCTCCAGTGTCATTTCTATCACCAAGGCCATATTTTCCAACTACTGGTGATTCTTCTTTGTTTCTAACTTTTGTATTCCAATCACTCATGGTAATTAACACATATTGATTGCATGTTTTGTCAATTTCAGACTGCAGATGTTGGTAAAAATCTTCAGTTTCCTCATATTTGGCATTGGTGGTTGGTGTGTAAATTTGAATAATAGTAGTATTAACTGGTCTTCCTTGTAGGTGTATGGATATTATACTATCACTGACAGCATTGTACTTCAGAATAGATCTTGAAACATTATTTGTGATGATGAATGCCACTCTATTCCTCTTCAATTTGTTATTCTGGGCATAGCAGATCATATGATTATCTGATTCAAAACGGCCAAAACCAGTCCAGTTCAGCTCCCTAATGCTTAGTATATCTGTCTTTATGTGTTCTGTTTCATTTTTGATCACTTCTAATTTTCCTAGTTCATACTTTGTACATTCCATGTTCCAATTATTAATGGATGTTTATAGCTGTTTTTGCTCATTTTTTTTTTTTGCCACATCAGCCAATGGAGGTCCCAAAAGCTTTACTCTACCCACATCATTAAGGTTGGCTCTACTCTGAGGAGACAGCTCTTCCCCAGTCTTATCTTGAGTGCCCTCTGACTCGAGGGGCTTATCTTTCTGGCACTACATTGGAAAATGTTTCAGGGCTATTCATAAAGTTTTCCAGTAATAATAATATATCAGAAAGTGTTTCACTGTTATTCATAAGGTTTTCACTGGCCAATTCTTTGAGAAGTGGATGGCTTCTTACTTCTTCTGAGTCTGTCTTAGTCTGGAAGCTCCACTGAAATCTGTCCACCATGAGAAATTCTACTGGCATTTGAAACACTGGTGGCATACCCTCCAGCCTCACAGCAACACACAAGCCACCACAGTACAACAAACTGACAGACAAGTTTATCTTCCTTAGTTGT